GGGGTTCCCAGTGCGGGCTCGGGTCACCCAAAAGCCGAACCGGCCTGGCCGGTTCGGGCCCGGTTCCGGGCTTATTATTTTTTGTTTTCAATTTGTTTTAACATTTCGGGTTGGACTGGGTATTTTGGACCATTTGGGGTGGGGGAGGGGGGTTAATTAGGAAAAGGAAAAAAAATAAAAAAGAGGCCCGGACCGGACCCAGTGGCTACCCGGGCCGGTCCCGGGTCCACCTTTTCTGAACTGGCGGCCCGCTCAGGCCTAGGCCTGATCCGGCCCCGGCCCGGCCCGAGTCCAACACTAAAATTGGGTAATATTAAAAGCTTGAAGTCTATTTTAAAAGATCATTTTGATACAGCTACAAGTAATGCAGGATCTTAAATACATTGTGAGGTAAATATTTCAAACACGTTTTCTTGGTATAAAGTATAAACTAGGCTAAACAACTTGAGGAAGGATGAATGATCCAAATAAATCATAAATGAATTACCAATAAACGTAACCATAAACGCACTAGCACTACCTTTTATCACGAATGCTAAACAAATAATCAATTTATTACTAAACCAGACTCGAATATTATATTATAATTTGAAGTTTCATCATAGACTATTACAATTCAATATTTTATACGGAGTATATTTGTTAGGAAATTTATGTATACTTCTGTGGTTTTTTGTTAAAGGAACGTAGAGGAAACCATATGGTAAGGGGGAAAATCCTCAACCGTCCAAAGTTGGGTGACTTGGAAGGAAAATTATTGATTTTTTTTCTTCTACATTAAACTACCCTCTCTTACGTCCATAAACAATTCTTTGCCTGTAAATCCTGTATCATACACAATCTTCTTTGCGACCAAACACATCACTTACGTATTGATTACTTTCATACTTTAGAAAGTCGTTATTATATATTTATACTGAAAATTTTCCAACATATGTTACAAAAAATAATCTGCAAATATATGTATTTCAAAATTCAATAAAAACATGTGATATACGTAGTACTTACTAGATACTTCATCCCCGATCCCTAATTTATACACATTCTTAAACATTTCTTTTCTCTGGATAATTCTCCACCACACAATAACAAATATCACAATTCTGCCAAATGTACTTTGAAAGTTAATTTAAGGAGAGGGGAAGTACCATACATGCAATATACGGAGTATTTGTTAGTAAATGGGAAGCACATTATTAAACATGCATTCATATCCTGTCTATTATTGATTGATGAAATGGTGTCATTAAGAAAACAAATTATTACACATTTTAACCATAAGAAAAAATTATTTGCAAAAATGTGACCTCTAAATAACTTAAGTTGAATTTTTACACTTAAGTGATTATGACACAATACTATAGTAACTTTTAATCATATTTTTGTAAATAAATTTTATTTTAATACGGAGTAACAATTTAGAAATAACCTTTTTAATAACATAATTATACTCTCTCCGTCCCGTTAGAAGGTTCCCACTTTCTTTTTTTGGACGTCCCGTTAGAAGGTTCTCATTTTCATTTTAGGAAGCAATTAACAATCTTAAGTGATAAATTAGTCATTAAATATTACAAATAATACATTTATAACATCACAGTTATCAATACTAACACATTATAATATATACCTATTAAAATTATCTTTCAAAATATATCCGAAGTAATTTATTTAATTATCACCTAAATAGCCGTATCATTTTAGTGTGGAAACCTTCTAGCGGGACGGAGGTAGCATCATTCATATTCCACCTTGAGTCAAACAAGATTTGTGTAATCCACGTCTTTCCCACTAGTCTATGCAAGCTAGGTAATGTTAAAATCCATATCAACTTGGGCCACGGGAAGGGTCACTGTTTCTATTTATTTTGCCTGAGGGTACGGACGTTCTGTTCAGCTGGTGATGTGGGAGTGTGGGACCAGGGACCATTAACACCAACAAGAACATATACACCTTTGTTCAAAAAAGGTGGAATCTCCACCTCAGGAGCCCCCACTCCGACCCGACAGGATGGTGGGGAGGTTAGTCACGGTGACTCAGTCAGCAGAATGACAGTAGACTCATACACTCGTGCGCACCAGAGGTCCAGCCTTATTTCAGGTTCTGTGATCTCCACCTGGTCGCTGCGGGGATTCGAACCTTGGTCCATTGTTCCAAATCTCCCACCACTCGACCAACTGAGCTACCCATGCGGGTACAAGAACATATACACCTAACGGTATGTTTGGGAGTTTTGAGGGAGGGATAGGTAAGAGTTTGAAGGTTAGCATGAGTTATAAACTTAAAATGCGAGGGGTCGCGAGAGTTATTATAATTAAAATTGCTTAAGAATTAAAATAGTTGAACTTGTATATTCGTATTAAATTGAGCTAAAATTATCATTTAATTTGTTTTCCTTCAAGTTTCCAAATTCAAGAAACTTAAAAATTGAGCATTTCAAATATCATACCCTGAGGGTGATCTCGGTCTAGTTCAAGATCAAAACATGGTGCTAACGGCCATAGTTAGTTAAATATGGTACGGGAATTAAACGAGGTTTAATACATACACGTTTTATTTGGAAATATTAGGGGTGGGATTTCGGAACCGGGAACCGTTAAAATGGTTGGAACCGAACCGTTATAACCCGATTCGGTTCGGTTTCTACAAATGAGGTATTAGTTGTTAACTGTTCGGTTCCTAGTTGTTGTTAACGGTTCGATTCCCGGTTCCTATAAAAAATATATGCACGGAACCGTTAAGGAACCGATATTAAAAAAAATGTAGCAGTATTTGTAGTAATACTAATATAACAAAAATAAACACAACAACAACAACAACAACAATAATAAATGAATGACATTTAGTCAATAATTCTAATTTAATTTAATCTATGAAAACAAAAATAATAAATATTTGCACATGAGGTTGAATACATTAAGCTCATTTTTACATATCAAGTTTTGTTCAATCAATAGAAGTAGAATGTAGTGATGCTTTTATATTTGTACATGCAAACTCAATGTATTTCTAGGTTTTGAGAGGCATAAAGTGTACTCCTATCCTTGCCACTATAATGATGAGCAACCTTCATTTTAACGACATAACCAACTATTTTTATATTTTATGTATTAAATGAAAATTAAAATCTTCTTTTTATTCTATTAAGTGTTCACTTAAGTCTGAGCTTTGATGTTTGGAGCGATTAGAACTCTAAATAAATGTTTATGACTTGTTGACTTTTTGACGTTTTCATGTGGTAGAAGCTAAACCATGCGTAAATTCTTACACGAAAAAATTATTCTAGGAACCGATAAAAGCAAGAACCGAACCGTTTAGTATTGGTTTGGTTCCATATCGGTTCTTGATTTTTTATATAGGAACCGAACCGATTTTATTTGTTAAAATTTAAATAACGATTCCACTATTTTTGAGTGAGAACCGAACCGGTCTCAGGCCTAGGAAATGTTACTGAAAAACGGTCAAGAATTCGTTGAAAAAACATTGACTTTTAAAAAATGTGTAAAAACGTATACATGTACAATACGGTATCTGTTACAAAATTTCGGACAAAAAATACGGGGTATTATTTTGAATATTTAAATTATATATTTCACAAAATAACATATATAGTAAAAAGAAATAAAAGTATACACATTTTAAAGTAGCAAATCTCATTATTACATAAAAAAATAATTCGTAATTGCACAACTTCACGACAAAATAAAAAAAAATAGTACTCCCTCTGTCCCGTAAAGAAGTTCCTAGTTTGACCTACACACATATTTATGTAAGATAAAATTTTGTTTTGACTTTCCAAGTATACCCTTACTTTATGTCAAATCAAACAAAAAGTGGATAAAAAGTAAGGGTAGTTGTGACTTTTTGGTTAAGAGTGGTATCCTTTTGTAGAACTGAGAACTTTTTGGGACATCCATAAAAAGAAAGTGAGAACTTCTTTGCGGGACGGGGGTAGTAATTAAGTTCAAGACTGATTTTGCAAACTAAAGTCAACAAATAAGACAAAAAATAGAATGAGACCAAGTTAAATTCAATATTTTCAATAAAATGACAGATACATATGAGAAAAGTTGTGTGACCGCTACATGCACTTATTATTGTTTATATGTAAAAGTTTATACTAAAAAATGTCAGGTTTAGAATACCTTTAATTTTGACATTCTTGTTTGGAAAAACATCATAAATCTAGTAGTACTTTAAGTTTTAATCTTTTAGCATGCTAGCTTTAACCGCTATGCAATTAATTTTAGTATATTTTTTTTGAGGAAAAAAATGCAAAAACATGGGGTCACAATACAAAAATATAAAAACATGGGGTCACAATTAAAAAAATACAAAAACATGAGGAAAAAATACAATTAATTTAGTATTTAATAATTGTACTTTAACAATACAAAACTATGGGTTCACATAGATGAGCTTTTCATTTTTGCTTTTAAACTATTGTTGATCTTCTATACGTTTAATGCATTCATTTAATTGATCAATTTATGTTTTTATTTTATGTAAAATACGGGATGCTTGTTTTAGACTTTTAGCCGTCATGCAATTAATTTTAGTGTTTTTAATAATTGTATTGTAAGAATACAAAAACACGAGCTCATAGATAGGACTATAGGAGCTTTTCTTTTATGCTTTTACACTATCATTGATCTCCTGTGCATTTAATGCGTTCATTCAATTGATCAATCCATATTTCTATGTTTAGTAAAATACAGGAAAAATGCGTTTTATACGGGAAATAGGAGTTTATGGGAGAAACTTCAAGAAAGGCTCTTTTATGGCTCTTTTTTCTTCTTTCAACTATTGCACAGATTTTCTGAAGAATGTTAGAGAATCAAGACAAAATAGAACTTAAGCCAGGCATTGGCTACACTAGAATAAGAGTAATCTCTCCTTCATTATGGTTTTTTGCTTTCTGTTAGTAATTAATCTCAAGTGTTGGGCTTGAAGATCTGAATGGTGCTACCGAGTGTTAAAAACAATAAATGACTCAAGCGGATGACCCATTGAGCTTCTTGTATTAATTCTTCTTGCCCAAAGGCAGCCACAACTCTGGGAAACATATTATATCATTATGTACTCCGTATAATCTTTCCTTTCTTTTCCTTTTCTATGACTATGAAGTATCAAACACCAGTGAGGTTCAGCAGTATAAACAACCCCACCCTCCGAGGTGAGGAGGGGAAAAAACAGTTAAAAGCTATAAACTGATCCCAGCAGATGGGAAAGTAAAAGAGGAAGCAAAGCAGAGTTGAGTTCATGTTAAAATCGTTTCTAACCAATCTGATGTGAATTCATAAGCAGCAAAGGTTACAGCACCTGCCGGTGCAGCTTTAATAACTGATGGGACAATGCCTTTATAAAGTCCTGCCCATCCCTCCTGGAGTACAATGCGACTGAGAGCATCATACATATTTCTGTAGGCATTAAGCTTGACTTGAGCACCATATCTTGGATGCCTCTTTAGTCCTTCAATCTGCAATGATATATTAGATGACCACGATAAGTCCGGATGTGATGTTAACAAAAACTTAGCAAATTATGGGATGATATACTCATGTATATTAGCAAACACAAATTTACTGGACACTAATTTTTGGGCTATGGCTTGTTATTTTACTGGACACCAGTCTGCGTTGGGCTCAAAGGTTTAAATCAGGTTTCAACTAATTCTCAAAATTAGTCATCCCATTTATGCAAAAAAAGGCAAAATTCCACATTCCTTGTAGTTACAGCCTTCTTACCAAGGAAAAATGAAATGAAATTCCAAAACCTACATCATATAGATCTTTTCCAAGTTACATGGAAAAGATCATCACATGACAATGAGTTGGGATTGCTATTATAGTTTTTCTTAAAGTGCTATTATAGTAAAGTTCCTGATTATCCCAATTAAATTTATTCTTTTCTAAATACATCTTAATCATTCAATTTCAATTCCTAAAGAGAGTGTAAAAAGAAAAAGAGAACAACAGTATGGGAGAGAGGGAGCATAATATTTTCCTTCTCTCAATCTCTTAGTGGCTTCCTTCTCTCACTTGGGTTTTATCAGTCAGTCTCTTCATATTTTCCTCCCATCTATCTTACATCTATGTATTGGTTTGTGTGGATGACATTATTGTTACTGGCTCTACGGTCTATTAACTCCTTGGCCCACCAGTTCTCTATCAAAGATTTAGGAGCCTTATACTATTTCTTGGGCATGCAGGTTACTCCTACACAGGGTGGACTCTTTCTTGGTCAGCATCAATACACTATGGACTTATTAAAGATATTAAAATGGATGAGGCTAATCCTATGGCTACGCCATTAGCTCCATCTGCTTCCTTAACTCTCTTTAAGAGTTGAGGCTCCTGTGATGCCACTCTATCACCAAGTCCTCGGGTCACTTTAATATTTGAATCTTACCCGCCCAGAAGCTGCCTTTGCTATTAACAAACTGGCTCAATTTAAGCATAAACCTACTTCTCAAACGTCTTTTGCATTATCTACAAGGCACTGCCTCTCATGGCCTCTTTCTTTATCGCATCACATCCCCTCTCTTCGTGCCTTTGTTGATGCTGACGGGGCAGGGAATCCTGATGACCGTTCCTCTACCAGCACATTTTTCTCTGGGAGTCCCTTATATCTTGGAAATCAGTTAAGCAGCGTACTATTGCTAAATCTTCCACAGAAGCCGAATACCGAGCTCTTACCACCGCTGCCTCTGAAATTATTTGGATTGAATCTCTTTTGCATGAGTTGCGGCACCCGCTCCTTTCTCCTCCACTCCTCCTTTGCGATAACAAATGTGCTACTACATCTTCAGCAAATCCTGTCTTCTACTTCTTCTACTGTCGCATGAAACATGTGGCTATTGACTTTCATTTTGTTCGGCAGCGGGTTCAACGCGTACTTCTTCAAGTTCATCATATCCCATCCTATGATATGATAGCTGATGCCCTCACCAAACTGCTTCCTCGACAACGCTTCATCCTTCTTAGAGACAAGCTCAGGATTCTTGGCTTGCAGGGGCGTATTGAAGGAAATAAATAATTTGCATTTAAAACATAATATTATATTTAGTTGTTACATATCACTATCATTTAATATAGTATTATTATTTACCTTATAGACATGATTAGGATGCTTTATTCCATCATTTGCAATGGAGCCAAAGATTCATTATTTTTTGGCTTGAGATTATGATGGAATAAAGCAAAATGGCTCACTAAACTGTCTACGCTTCTTTGTTATGAAGCAGCAGTCAGTCGATGCAATTTTGGACGGGATTTTCACTATGGGTCATCCGGAAACAGTCTCTCTGTGCTTTAGTACAGGGGTAAGACTGCGTACATCCGACCCCTCTTTACCCCACCGTAGGTGGGAGCCTTTGCGGCACTGGGGTAAATGAAAATGAAAATGAAAATGACATGATTAGGATGCTTGTAAACCAGTTATGTACACAGAAATATATCAAAAATATCCGTTCTCTCCTCTCTATTAATGCCCTTGTCCCAACACGGTCTTAAAGAAACAGAACAGGGCCACTGAGTGGATACTGTGCCAATTCCAGGATACAATAAGGAAAGGGCAATTATAAGCAACTACTTCTCTGGCAATACAAAATCATGGTGGGTGTTTGTGGCAGTTGATGTGTACCCTGAAGATCATCAAGGGGCACTGTACAGATGAAAAGTGAGTGTGCCATGAGAGGTGTGGACCTTGCAAGAGGTGTGGGCCTCTTGTGTGGACTTGACACAAGAGGCACTGTGCGTGTGAATAGTGCGTGAGCCAAGAGGAGTGTGGGCTTGGCGTGGACCACAATACGCCGAAGTCTGATGGGTTTGGTGGTGGTGGTGAGATTCATGCAACTGGTGCTATATTGTGACCCAGTGGGAAGTAGGAACTAACCTGAAACCTCTTCTTCACTACATCAAGGGGATGACAAACAACTTTTGCACATGTCCCAGCTGCTAATCCACATAGAAAAAGCTGGAAGCGTGAAAGAGAATCATCAGTGTTGCTCGTATTTGATGATCTACGGTTCCAAGCCTAGAAATCGCAGACAACCCAAAGTCAAGAAGTAAACATGCATCTTTGGGGTCTGTTTAGAGCTCGGAAAATACTAGCAGAGGAAAATAGAGAAGACAGCTGGTAGGAACAAAAGTTCCGGAGAAAATAAAAGAATAGTTTAATACTTCAATACTAATAATATTGATTTCAATATCTGTTCAACGCATTTTTAGTTATTTATTCCAATTGTATAGAGACTATGAAATCTAAATATATCTAGAGTTTTAAAACAAGTACAATGTATAATGTATTTCATTTTCCTTGGCATTTTCCAGGGTAAGCTGAAAGTCCGCAACTAAGAAAATTAGTTTCTTAGCATTTTCTTTCCTATCCCTAGCATTTCCCGGATCAAACATAAGTACTTACCATTGTCCAGCGCTTGAATGTATCATATGTACCAAACTGCAGACCAGCATAGGGAATGATCTCAACTAGGGTAGGACTCAATCCAGAATATAGACCTCGAATACCACGAGTTTCAAGGCTATCAACAAACGCGGATCTCAGGCTCGGGTAAACCTGCATGCAGGTAACCCTTCTCAGATTCTCAGGCATCAAGTAAAAAGGTTGAATGACAAACTTCTTTGCATCGGATCAATAGCCATATTTGTTTTAATTTATTTTCAGGTCATAAACAAAAATATTAATTTGCCTATTAAAAAGATTACTACATTTCATTCATGATATTAAAAACATTGCCTTTGGCTCCCCTTGTGAAGCTAAAATGGTTCTTAGCAGATCAAATGGATAGGATCCGACCGTTGCTGCACAGCCTGCGAATGCCCCACTGATATATGATAGATATGGACTCAAATTAATATGGTCGTCTGCATCAGGGAAAGCAGCAGCCCATAGTGTGAGATGCATTTGTATAAGATAGACAACTAGCATGATATGTTAAAGATTTCATCAGCATCGCATTTGTTAGAGATTATTCAGATAATTCATTTTCATGACATTTATTTCCATCTTTGTTTAAAAAAAAACAGAATATATATAACCATGTCCCATTTCGATGCTTAACATCAAAACAAGTACAAAATTAATTACCCAGGATCAGTGCAACATAAAAAAGGCACATATGAACTCAATGGACAAAAATGTAGTGCTTGTACATGTAGCTGTAAGAGTAGGGTGTTTGGAAGATAAACTAACTAAATATATAGCTGCCCCGTATATGAAGACAGGATATGAAATATAACTATAAACCTGAATTTGAAGATCCAGAAGCAAAGGTTTTCAATTTATGCAGCACCGTGAATTGTATGGCAGTATATGGCATTACCATAAGTAGGGCTGGAACATTACCACGCCAAAATCCCTGCAAAGCAGTTCCAGAATTAAGGGTGTCAATAAAGTTTTGATCATGTTTAATGAGACACTAAAATTTTGATGGTGGAAATGTGAGAGACAAGAATAAGAGTCCCGAAATCTTATTTGTTTAGATGTCTCCCAAGTACAATGGTGCTACGGTTATGGTTTTGATGGGAAGGGGAGAAAGTGAGGAGAAAATGCTAGTGTGCATCTGCATATTTGGTTCGAGGAGTTAGGACTTAAGGTGGGGGTATGCAGAGAGCTATGGGATCCTGGAAACTCCTTTTATCTCACCCTATCAATTGAGAGATTTTGAATAAATTTTTGTTTCACTTTTTGATAAAAATAGTTTCCTGCATTATCATAAATTTAGATTTTACTCCCTCCGTCCCTTATAACTTTGCCAATTTTCCTTTTTTGGATGTCCCATTAACTTTTCCACTTTCTCTTTTTAAGTAAAGAATTTGTGGTTTCATTTAATTCTCTCTCCTCTGCACAAATCTCAACCACACAGTTTTTACTTTATTAATCTTCATGCCGGTCAAACTTGGCAAAGTTATTAGAGACGGAGGGAATATATTTTTAATTAAAAAAATCCTTCACATTTTAAAGAAAAATACTACTTCTCCTTCCCCTCGCTTTTCCATTGAATAAAACAGAACCTCTTTCTAAACTATTTCACTTCTGTCTATTCTCCAGTTTGGACCTTTCACCTACCATCCATTCCCTCTTTTGAATCAAAAGTGGATTTAATGGTGTAGCCTGATTTCCTAGAGTAAAGGTTATTCTGTTACATTTCAGCATAGCTTCTTAATCTTTTTAAGACTTCTGTAAAATGACTATCTCTAATTACAATCCCTATTATTAATCCTTCTAAAGCTTCTGTTCAAGCAGATAGAACTAATCCCATCATAAACTCCCATTACAATCCCTAATATTTCTCTGGACTTAATACTTGTTAGTTGTTACCTAACTTTCCTGGACTGCATAAAAAAGTGCATTATTTGTCGGAAGATGATGTGCTTGGAGGGGTGGGTAAGGGAGGAGGATAGAAAATGTGTAGTCTAATTTGCACAATAATGAATTATAAATTTGTCACCAACAAATGGGTAAGCCATAAATGCTGTAATACTCCCTCCATCCCGTAAAGAAGTTCTCGTTCGGTTTACGATGTTTGACTGACGATAAAGCAACTCGATCCCGATTCACACTCAGATTATTTTTAGTAAGTAAAATTTACATTTTCAGAAACTACATTAAAACCGCTACAAAGCCTGATCAAGAAAAATTAAATTTGATAAATATTTGATATATAAAGTAAAAGATTAGGAGTGATTTAAGTTGACCGATGAATAGTAATGAGAACTTCATTACAGAGGTAGTAATATTTTATGGCTTTTCTGTTCATGATTTTTCCACAAAAGATGTTATCTTGGAAAGGAAGACATGAAATAGAAGGAAGTTATTATTATGCTTAATCATTATAATCTAAAAGCGGATCTGTGTCTACCAATAGATGACACTGATATTGGTGTTAAATAGACAAGTCTCAAATGTGTACTCAAAACATTCATACCCGCAACCCTTCCTCTCTGAAGATATCCTTGGCCGCTTGCAGCATCCCAGTGTACTTAGATGATGGATATGGGTTCTTCTGAAGCAAGGCCCACTGAACAGTAGGTTCTAACTGAACCTGGAAAATAACTAACAGCATCAAAGAAGGTCCACTAGCTTCAAAATACAAGCACATTCAATTGAACTATGTGTAACCTGGTAGCATCCTAGGCAACATTACCTGAAATCTAATCTTAATTACATCAAGTGGAGATGTCACCGTCCTTGATATAGCACCAGAGATTGCCCCAGCCGTGGCATCAACAAAAGCCCTTCTCAGCTGCCCCGGCTCTTCTTCCATCTCCCGTATTACACTACACTGCTACTACCTACATCCAAATTTCAGCACTACCTTTCTGTTAAATCAGCTTTACAGTTCTCCTAAAAATCAACTTTAGCTTCCATTTGATGAGCTTTTAATAAAACAAAATCACTACATCCACTGCAGCGGAGGATTTCTCTTCGTATTACAAGCATATATACATATATAAATTCAGCTCTAGAAATCTACAACACAAAAATGAATACAAGAGTACAATGATGAGCTAGGAGATGAGATGTTGCCTGATAGAGAAAAATTGGAAGAGAAAGACGCGAGCAGCCATCAAAATTTCCAGATTTTTAATGCAGAAAAAACATGAGGTACTGAGCTCTAAGACGGCTGCCGGAGAAATAAAATGGAGGAGGTTAGAACTTGGATGATTGCGAAGCTGGGTTCGGCCATTCGGGGAGAGTAATAAGGGGGGCAAGTATCTTTGAGGATTTTATAGTATCTTCGCGTAGGCCGCAAATGCTTACGCACAACTACACAAGTTCTAAGTCAACTCCAAATGCTTCCATTCTTGTACGGGGCAAAAATACCAAAAAATAATCGAAAATACGGAATTATTGCTATATCATCATACTATATCGATTTATTTTAGGAGAATGTATTAATTATGCAATCCAATGCCCGTATGCATATACAACAATTGTGTGTGAACAAATAATGAAGAGTAGTTTTTTTAATGTTAATTTTAATAACTTTAAGAGGATGTTATGTGTTGCTTATTTAGTCAAATGATCAATTGAAAAAAGGCGGATACTAAATTCATTTTCTCTAGAACTTCTAAAATAAAAGAATTTCCATAATAACTTCACACCATAAAATAAGTTTGTACAAGGTATGCGACGATATGTGACAGATAAAATTCGATTTCTCGTTTAAGAAAAAAACTAAATTGACATTATTACAATTTACAAGAACAAGAGGAGGAGGAGGAGGAGGAGGAGGAGGGGGAGGGGGAGGGGGAGGGGGAGGGGGAGGGGGAGGAGGGGGAGGAGGGGGAGGAGGAGGAGGAGGAGAAGGAGGAGAAGGAGAAGGAGAAGGAGAAGGAGAAGGAGAAGGAGAAGGAGAAGAAGAAGAAGAAGAAGAAGAAGAAGAAGAAGAAGAAGAAGAAGAATGAATGAATGAATGTCGATCGTCATACAAAGGCGATGGTCCTCATCTTGGAAGGGATGAAGAGCCCGATCGACAGCTCAAGACGCACGGCGTTGGGAAGCCGGTCTTGAGATAAGGGATCCCGTTGAGGCTGTGGGATCCCTTGGTGAGTCAGGCTTACGTTCACCAATCCATCCCGCTAGCCTCTCCGATGTTGGCTGACGATGCCCGTCCTCTAGCCTATTGAAGGCCGAGGCTCTACGCACTGGAGTCGGTCCAGCTCGACGAGGGGAAGCAGGGTCGGAATGGGACAAAGACGTGCCCTGAGACTCGACCCCCTCATCGTTACCAATCTTCATGACCAACGGCTGAGGTGGGGTGTTGGTGTAGTGCTCTCTCCAGTCCTTGGCACCAATGCACTGAGGAAGATGGGGTTCTGAGCCAAGCTGGCTAAGATGGTCGATAGAGCGGCCTGAAGTTGAGCGTCAACATCGGGAGTAATCTGTTGCCCCGAGACGTTATCGCCTTTCTTTGTGCGTTTCTTCTCCAGGCCGATGCGGGTGTCTAATGCGTTGCCGTTCAGCTGGTTGCGAAGATCAGCCGTGGGGTCGATGGTCTCCTGGAAGACTTCCTCATCTGCGGCCTTGTCGACCGTAGCATCGCTAGAGCGCTCACGGCCCTCCTGAGTTTCGGGGATCGTCTTGCCGATGAGGTTGCGGTTTGGCCTTGCTCTTCCCATAGTCAGTTAGCTGTGCTTGGTAGCGACGAAGGATGCTAACTTGATTGTTCTTGCTCTCAACGAGAGCACCAAATGATAGAGTATAACCTCTTAGAGAGAAGTGAAAGCTAGAGAGAGAAGTGATTTGTATTAAATGAGTTTCGAACCCTTTACAACTACTCTCAAATGAAGTATTTATAGGGAAAAGCGGGCGGGGCTCCCAAGTCTTGGGCTTGGGAGGCCCATTAAGATACAAGGCCTCTATTGGGCTGATTACATTCGGATACATGAGCTAAGTATGAAAGTCCTTTGGAGACGTACATCTGACTGACAGAGGTGCGGCAGACAAAGTCCCTGGAGACGTACGTCTGGCTGTGGTAGACGAAGACCTTGGAGACGTATGTCTAGTTGTGGCAAACAAAGTCCTTGGAGACGTACGTCTGGCTGTGGCAGACGAAGTCATTGGAGACGTACGTCTGGCTGTGGAAAACGAAGTCCTGGGAGACGTACGTCTGGCTGATGGAGTGCTGGAGGCCGTTCCTCCCTGGGTGACTGTCACGTGCTAGAGGACGTACATCCCTGAGGCCTTCCTATGTGCTGGAGGCCGTTTGTCCCCGGGTGACTGTTACGTGCTAGAGGACGTGCATCCCCGGGGCCTTCCTATGTGCTGGAGGCCGTGCGTCCCCGGGTGACTGCTACGTGCTGGAGGACGTACGTCCCTGGGGTATTCCCATGTGCTTGAGGCCGTACGTCCCCGGGTGACTGTTACGTGCTGGAGGACGTACGTCGTTGGGCCCTTGGTCCTATTCGTAACAGTGGAAGTATGTGGGTCATAGGGTATGGACTCATATACTCCATCAAATAGTTGTCTGTGTGATCAACTTTAGTTGTCGGTGTGATCAATTTTAATTGTTTGGGTAAACAAAAAAAATTAATTGCCTATATACATCCAAATGAATAATGTAGTTGTATGTGTAATCAATTTACATGTAATTTGAAAAAAAATAGAAAAATAATAAAAATAGATGAAATAAGACGAATAAACTGATTTTGTGCAAATAATGAAAAATTTTGATATAAGAAGGTATAGAAAAAAATGATGAAGAAGGAAAGAGGAGGATGAAGAAGATAAGATGATCATCCTTTTTTTTTAGAATTTTAGAAAAGATTGGATAAAGAAGAAAGAGAGAAGGGAGAGAGGGGGAAGAGAGAAGGGAGAGAGAACCGAGAGAGAAGAGTGAAGGGAAATGAGTTTTTTTATGCTTTTATACTATGTACAACTTGTGTACAGGTGTGTACATTAAGCAAAATTCAAATATAAATTCCTGTATTTCTGCTAATAAGTGCGTTGGCTTGTTCTTATTCCGTGTATATAGATCGCTTTGTGTGTTACGACTATAAATATGAGTGCTATTCAGTTTTAATTATGTCGGTCCATTCTCCGTTTGTCAAAATATTAAAGAAATTTCTTCACATTGAGTTAGAACCTAGACAAAATGCATACATAGTAGTAATTGTGTATTATTCTCTAAGTAATACTTCTTTGATTTTATTAAAATTATAAAACTTTCATAAGTATGATGAGTTTTTTCCGAAATAATGCTAATTAAATAAATTATTCCCGAATTATTGCTGGGTTAAGAATAATTCCCAAAATACTGTTGGAATTAACCACGGTTAAGGAAAGCCGCCACTCCAAGTGGCGGTTCTTGTGTTACTTCACAACATCCGCCACTCCGAGTGGCGACTCTTCTCTTATAGTACAAAAGCCGCCACTTCAAGTGGCGGTTCTTCTCTTACGGCCCATTTTGTACATATATAAAACGCAGTATGTTTCATGAATTTACTTAACTGCCTTCCCGATTGAATTTTGAGCTGAAATATGGTATTCGTAAACTAGACTTGATGAGAAACATTCTCAAAAAAATCATCAAAAAATTCCACCGGAAACACCCTCTGATGGTGTTGTCCGCGGGGGGTTCCGACCAAGACGTCATTACAAAAGGGTGGTCCGGCCACCTTAATTTTAGGTGATTCCCGGTGAGATGTTTTGCTGAATTTTTTTGTTTATGTTATTCATCAAGTCTAGTTGATACATACCAAATTTCAGAACCAATATCAATCGGGAAAGCAGTCAAATGATTTTTTTAAAGATAACTGCCTTTTATATGTATAATCCGGCGTAGTTATCTTTCCAAAATCATTTGACGGTCTTTCGGATTGAATGTTTTGCTCAAATTTGGTATGACTGAACTAGACTTTATTAAGAACATACACAGAAAATTTCATCAAAACATACAATCGGGAACCACCTCAAATTGAGGTGGCCGGACCACCATTTTGTCATGACGTCCTGACCGGAACACCCCGCGGACAACACCATCAGAGGGTGTTTCCAGTGGATTTTTTTGATGAAATGTTTTTAGCATGTTCCTCATCAAGTCTAGTTTATGCATACTAAATTTAAGCTCAAAATTCAATCGGAAAGGCAGTTAAACAAATTCTTGAAACATACTGCGTTTTATATATGTACAAAATGGGCCGTAAGAGAAGAGTCGTCACTTGAAGTGGCGGCTTTTGTACTATAAGAGAAGAGCCGCCACTCGGAGTGACGGCTTTTGTGAAGTAACACAAGAGACGCCACTTGGAGTGACGGCTTTCTTTAACCGTGGTTAATTCCAGCAGTATTTTGGGAATTATTCTTAACCCGGCAGTATTTCAGGAATAATTTATTTAATTAGCATTATTCCGGGAAAAAACTCAAGTATGATTGTATGAGTGAATAAATGATACTTTAAGAACAAAAAAATGCTGATCATATTTGTTCACTTTGTTTGTATGTAATACATAGTATATTTTAGTTTTATCTGCTACTAGATTCCCTCATTTCCAAAGTATGTATTATGGAAAAAGGGGCAAATAAGCTCACGTACTAACAAAAAAAGGTCAAATAAGCCCTTATATAGGAGGTTATGTCCGGCCGTCGTCATTTGGGGCAGTTCCCGGTGGACATTTTTTATGCAATTTTTTGAACATATTATTCATTAAGTCTAGTTTAGTCATACCAAATTCCAGCTAAAACTTCAATCGAGAAGGGATTCAAATGTATTCTTGAAGATAACTGTGCAGTTAAAGGCGCAGTTATCTTCAAAAATTTATTTCAATGCCTTCCCAATTTAATTGTTAGCTGAAATTTGGTATGAGTAAACTAGACTTAATGAATAAGATTTTAAAAAAAAATTATCAAAACATTCCACCGCGAACTACCCGAAGTTGCGACGTCCGGACAGAGCCTCCTATATAAGGGCTTATTTGACCTTTTTTTGTTAGTACGTGGTCTTATTTGTCCCTTTTTCCTATGTATTATTATTGATATATGAGTGATAGTTAGTATTACTTAAAGTTCTTTTTTGCAATAAAAATGAGATGATTATAAATTCATAACTACAATAAATGTTGTTTAAATAATGTGATCTCTTAAATGTGATGACTATACAAGTAACTTTAATCATAGGAATTTATATTTAACTTTTATACTTAAATGACTAAAATATATGTTATAGTTAGGACTTACGAGTGAGCACCGATCCAAGACCGGACCGGAATTGATTGGATTGGAACCGAAATTCCTAAAAATATAGGACCATGGACAAGACCTATATAG